TACCTCGTCATCGGCGCATTTCTTCTTACAAGCCCTTAAATCTTGTTCAGAATAGGGCCAGTTGAGTCTCGGTGATTTTGCGGTCTTTGGTGTCCATTGGTAAAATCTCGGAAAGGGGTTCAACCATCTGCAAATAGGATCTGTAGATTTTTCTGATCGTAATCCCACGTTCAGAGCAACTCTAGGAACATGTTGGGCAAGCCGCAGCAATCGCAGTCCTCCATCTGTCTTGGCCAGATAGAATAAGCCATCTGCAGTACTCATATGCAGATGTAGGAACTGTTTGACTGACCCTCTGATTTGACTGTCTACTTCCTTGAGCATCGACATTGATGGCATCGATAGAACCAATTGATAAAGGTAATGTGATATTATGTAGGTAATGCCAACTTCTGAGCGGGCTTTAAACGCGCTTTTTGAAGCCTCGACACTGCTTCCATTAAAATCGATATGGATGCTTTATATGGGAAGCCTCGATAGAGTAGTTCACTCCCAGGTATTGAAGAGTATGATCATTGCTGACAAGGGGAATTCTCTCCCGCAACCTTTCCAGACAGGGGTCCTCAATGAACAAGGATTTTTCAAAGGTCGTAATTTGAAATGATGAATATTTCGCGACGGACAATGTCATTCCGAGTGCCCCAAGATATTCCACCACAATATCAACCAATTTTTGAGCTCCCGGGGTATCTTTTGCTAACACCAGATCGTTAGCAAATGCTAACACGGACACACTCCTTCCCAATAGCATGTATCCTGACATATTTTCCAATTTCTCAAGCAGGCATGATGAGATTAAAAAGGAGTGGGGACAAGGGATCCCCCTGTTTTACTCCTCTACGAATTGGCACCTCAATTCCTTTCGAGGGGTGCTGAATGACGGTAGAAACATCGGCGAAAGAGTCCATTACCAAATTGGTAAAGGCGTTAGGGATCCCTTTCCTGGACAGAGCCCATCGAATGCCGCGTGAGGAAGTGTCAAATGATTTGGATATATCTAGCACAACACCTACACCACCCTCTGTTTTTGCATGTCACAGACTGCTTCATGAAGAATTTGAATATTAGCGGAGCAGCCAGGTTCAGGGATAAACCCTTTCTTGCGCGGATTGAACTTCACCACGGATCGAATGCGCTTGTCCATAATGCCCCAAAAGATTCTGCATAGCAGAGAACTAATTGTGATGGGGCGATAGTTAGTGACCACCGTGGTAGTGGATTGATTATTGTTAGCAATACTAAAAATGCAATCTGTAGTTCGTTTGCAGATGCACATACGTTTTCTATAATACAAACGTGAAATAAGTTTGGTGTTCCAAATATTTTTAACATCACTTTCTTGACATTTTTATTCAGCATTGAATGATGTACGCAAAATGGCTGTAGCTCAAGACAAGTGCACAAATTAAATTTCTTCTTCAAACGTTGCATACAGTTTTTGTTCTTTGCAGAAAATAAATCTAAATATAAACTTCGTGAGCTACATTTATATTTTGTTTGTGAACGTTCTTTCCGATATTATTATCTAAGCGTCAAAAGAATCGGGCAATTAAAAAAAATATTTTTTTCTAGAAAACTAATTATTTTTAAATGCCACAAAAACCATATAAACACGTAATTAAACACTAGCAGAGGTCAGTACATTATATTCTGTAATTTTTTGATGCAATTGGAGAATTCTTCGAAATGTGATAACCATTTTCAAAATGCGTGAAGACTCGTAACATCGATTCTTTAATATTTTATATTATCTCAAAGCGTATTTCTAGTAAATGGAAATTCTGAACTAAAGAAGTTCACATGGCAAAAATCCTGTGTTTATTTTTTTCTTTCACACTCATCATCACGCACGAAGCGGAACTCTGAACAAAATCATGTTAATCAGGTTGCTTGCCTCCATCAAGCACGTCTGAAGACAAACCGAATTCCGAATATTCCAATTCCCATCCCACTCTGTATGCCCAATTCTGAGAATAAACCTTATCCGTCACACGCGTGCTAGATTCATCACTCCTACAAATTCTCCCATCAGCTTTAGCAGACGAGGGACCCACTAATGTGCCAACGATAAGATGTCACTAATTCCCTTCTGGCTATCCTCTCGAAGTTTTCCCCGATTTCTTTCCTGCAGGTACATTACTTAAGAGTTCCCACGTTACGTATTGCTCCAATATTCAGATGCCGACTGACACATGTTTGTACACCCACCGGATAGTGGGGGTATGGTGGGGAGCTATACCAACACATATATATATATATATATATAT